ACAGGGAGCTGGAACGAGGAGAAAGTGAAAAAAAGAGTTGAAATAATGTTAAAAATTAATGAGTAAAGCGATAAGTTGGTAAGCAGGCAAGGTGTTTGCATGTTAATGAATTGGGGAAATAAAAATTAGTTAAACTGTTAATACTTAAATAAGAAGATACTCACAATGATACACGGTGTTTGAGTTCCTTGTAATTGACAGTAGTTGATCAGCATCTACAGGCTTTTCAATTTGTCTGTCTACTAGAAATAAAAACTAAAACTGCTTTGAAGATATGAAAATAATAATCGGAATTTAAATTCAGAGAAAAGTCACGGGTAACACTTCAAAGGCGTAACCTATTACTGTTAGTAGGAGCAGGGGGATTCGTCTATCATTTCATGATACATGTATGGGTGGTAATGAGAACACAATGTGTTCATAGTCTATAATTCGTTTCCGAGGTTCATCTAAATATTTGGTGGACCATAAAAGAGTGCCTGGGGACTTTGTGTGAGTTCCGGGAATAGTCGGTATATCTCTTTAGAGTCTAGCAACAGCATGACTAGTTTCTTGAACTTAGTGATTGTGTCACAAATACGGATAGTAATTGGTAACCTGTTCCACAGTAGACTGTATCGTATTACAAAGAAATTAGAACGCAATGATTTCTTGTGTTTTGCCGTTAATAGTGTATATGCGTTGTTTCTAAGTCTGTAAGCAGTGTCGTGGTTCATAGTTGGGCGGTATTTTACGAACGAAAGACCATTTATTAGTTTATAGAGGAGCATTAGGTTGTTTCTGAGACGACGGCGCCATAGAGGTTCTAGGGAAAGATGCTTGCATCTTTCTGTGTAGTCGAGGTTATGGCTCAATCCGAGCAGTCGCCGGGTGAAGCTTCTTTGTACATTTTCTACTCGCATTTTGTCGATGATATTCATGTTTGAAAATATGAGTGAACAATATTCAAGTGTGGGCCTTATACAGATTTTGAAGAGAGTAAGCTTAGCCTGACTTGTGAAGAAGTTCTTGTTTATAAACCCAATTAGTCGTCTAGATTTAGAGATAATATTTGAGGCATGTTCTTCAAATTTTAGGCTTTTAGAGTAACTAATACCAAGGTCACGCGCTGATATGAGTGTCTGAACCTTACATTTTTGAAAGTAGAGTGGTGTATCAAGGTGACGCTTGCTAAAATGCATTATGGCACATTTGTTGTGGTTAAACGGCAGTTGCCATGTCTCGCTCCAGGTACTTAAGTTATCAAGATCACTCTGAATCTTAGCTATATTTTCGTCCAGATCTTCAGGCTTATAGCTGTATACTATTTTCAGATCATCAGCATATAAGTATGCTCTTCCAAATTGAATAGTATTACGTATGTCATTTATGTACGTTAGAAACAAGAGTGGACCTAAGACACTTCCCTTTATAACCCCACTGGTTATTGGTCTTGGTGATGAAAGACAGTCGTTGTACTTTATCATTTGTTGTCGCCCATTTAGAAATGAAGCTAACCATAAGTGTAGTGGGTTGATGATTCTAAATGACTTCAGTTTAAGTAGAAGCCTTTTGTGTGGGACTTTATCAAAAGCCTTTTTAAAATAGAAGAAAAGGACTGATACCAGAAGCCCTTTATCTTGTTCATTCGTGATATCGTTGAAATAGTCTCATTCGAGAAACTTTATTGGAGATATGTTCGGAGAAGTTAAGGTTGTGCGAATAATGCGCTCCAAGATCAGTTACGGATGTGAGTTTGGGCAATACATTACTGTTGAGAATGAGATCTAATTTGGGAGACGTGTCTCCGAAACACATCCAGCCACACTTCTCAGTATTAAGTTCAAGGTTCCATTGCTTACACCCGACATCTACAGTATTGAGTTCGTGCTGGATTGTGTGCAACAAGTTTCCTAAGTCAGATTTGCTAGTTTGATAAATCACTTTTAGGTCATCCGCATAGAGGTAGGTTTTACCAGTGTTGAAACAACTGCATATGCTGTTGATGTAGATTATGAAAAGTAGTGGACCCAAAACACTGCCCTGCACAACACCACTGGTAATTGGTCGAGGTGTAGATGTATGTGAGTTGATTTTGGTAATCTGATATCTATCTGTGAGGAACGACCTAATCCATTGCAACAGGTGGAAATCAGTGAGGTGTGGTGAGGTGTGACATTTTTTGGATCGGCCTTTTCCAACTCCTTCCTTCCTCGTGAGAAGGCAGCATCGCTGCAGATGCTGGTTGTCCGAGGGAAACACCTTACTGCTGTCACACCCCTCTGCAGTCAGCAGTATGACTTCGCCCTCAGACCATGAGTTGCCCATTTTATTCTTATCGTCCTGGCATGGTGGAATATACGGGAACGTATCTTCCTGTCAATATAGTTTGGCTGGATCATCACGATAGGCAAGCCCGGCCACCACGTCGAAGTAGCGTTTACGCTTGTGACTGTTGAACTTTGGTTAGTTTTAGATAACTAAGGGTAAGACGTCTGCGAAGAATGTTTTACTTAGGGGGCTGGATGTTTGTATAAACCGTTCTCTTTCCAACTGCAGATGTGTGTGCTGTATCTAATTTAGGTTTTTTTGTCAATGAATACTAATTCAGTTCATTTTCATTGTCGTTTAACGTATGACACTTTTACTCCCGGAAGGATTCGTAGACATCATCAACTCGCTGAAAGACATCTAATTAGAAAGAATCCACTACTCCCTGGGATTCCTCAACACATAAACGTGCGACACGACCGCAGGGATCAAGACACAATCTTCTAATAGAAACAACCGCAACGAAATTTCTTTGATATGTAAAGAGCGACCCAGAACGTTTGGCGACGTGAAATTTCCAGAACATCCAAACAAGTTGTATGTAGGAAAATTTAATTCTTCTGTTCTTCATTTTTTTTCCGTGTCTAACAAGTGTTCGTTTGATCTAGCATTTTCAATACAAATCATAAAGCATTTCGTTCGTAATTTTCATAGCCACCATACAATATAAATACAAATATATACCAGGTCTTATTTTATCATATATTGCTCGCTCACAGTATCATGGGTATATTTCGACATGCGGTTACATTTCTTTCTTCTCTTTTAGAGGTCAACTCGAAAATATAGAGGGCATGTGACTTTAAAAATGAAAACCCTTTGAAGGTCTTAAAACTGTTTATTTTCGGTCTGAGTACTCTGTCGTTGATCTTCTCTGGACTTGTACGAAAAATTGATATCGTTATGAAGGTAAAGAAGTATAGCTGTATAAATGTTTCCGGATGATACACAAGCAAGAATTGAAAACGGTTACTAATTTGTACCTCCTTTATATACAATGAATAATCGAATATTACAGTCTTCTAAAAACTAAAAATTAGATCTTTATGCGGCAGTTCAGTTGTTATTGAAAACAGATCATAGAAATTAAATTAAACAGTTATTGATACATATGTCTGAAGTGATGTAATGAGATCGAAAAATCATCACGCTGAAGATCATAAATATACACCTGTTAAATGATCAGAATTTCCGATCTGATCTGATAATGGTTTACAATAAATTAAGCACGCTTATTATTCCAACATGAACATGTTGACGAAGCATCGCCACCACGTCCTTCGAGGTAATTCTCGAAGTATTGAGCATCAAAGAGCGAAAAACCAGGCTCGTGCACATGTTGTCTCATTAAAAGTTGTCGAAACTTTAAATGCTCTCAAAGCTGAAGTGAAAACTTCCTTTTCAGTGGATGGCTTCAAGAAAGCGCTTGATAAGCAAATATTCACATTCAGCTTATCATCTTCTTGGACCAGCTGTGCTCGATGCAAGTCTTCAGACTTACAAGTTGTTATTATTGCAATCTTTTCAGACCATCGACTTGACCAATCCGCTGATTATTTCTGTTTCTTTGTCCTCTCTTACACTTCGGTCCTTCACACAATTTTCACTACCAGTTATTAAACTAAATTATTCATTTATTACCTTAGTTTTGAAATCCTCTTCTTATTAACCCGAGACCGTTCCCTTTATTATCCTCCACGTTGCAACTAACCGATCTCGGTCCTGGTAACATGAAATCTGTTTCTATCTAGAAACCCTACTATCCAGATTAAACGCCCTCGAGGCAATCCTCGAAAGATTGCATATCAGAGAGCGAATACTCAGATTCGTGCACACTTTTTATCATTGCGAGTCGGCGCAACTTGGAATGCTCTCCCAGTCGAGGTGACCACAGCCCCTTCAGTGGACAGCTTTAAGAAGAGACTTCACAATCACGTACTCACATACAGACTTTCATGTCCCTCTTTGACAAGCTGTTCATGATGCATATCTTGAGACCTGCTAGCTGTCATCATTGCCATCTCCTCAGATCACTTACTTAACCTACCTCGCCTATTATCTTTGCTTCTTCTCCCTTGCTTACCCTTTGGTCATCTCTCACAATCTTCACTACCAATTAACAAACTAAATTCATCCATATATTACTCAGTTCAGAAATTTTATTCATATTAGCATTAGAATTTTATCCTTATTACCCTTATTACTCTCCACATTGCAAGCAGCTGATCTCTGGTCTGGTAAAGTGACGGCTGCCGGTATCCAGAAACCCTACTGCCATGAAACAAACGTTTTCATTCAAATCCCGAGACATACAAACTCACAACCAACTGCCAACTGACTAGAATTAGACAGTCGAGTGGCTAGACCTCCATCCATTGGAAATTACCGAACACCTGGAACCGTGCCGAAAGAACAAGAATCGAGCGCGAAGAAGTCAAATCGGTTTACACTAGCTCGTCAAAAAGATATTGGATATTGGGAATATTGGGACATACAAACACAAAAAATTCGCCAACTGATTACAATTAGTATAGTCAAACGTCTGGAGTACAATCTATTATAAAATACGAATTACCCGGAATTATACCGAAAGAACAAGTATCGAGAGTAAATAAATCGAATGAATTATACCAGCTCGCGAAAAGGATATTGGATATTGTGTGTTGTTTAATTTCGCTAAATTTGAAACTGTTGAACGTTCGTTCATTACAAAAGTTTCATTTGTTCACGTTGTTCGGTAAGCTTTTCGAAAGTTTCTTATACAATTACTGTTTCTTGGTTTTTGAATCCTGAGCGTATCCGTAATTAGGTATATATAATCCGAGAAGCTGAGTGTGTTCTGATTTTCGACCTACATGACCCTAACAACACCACTTCTTACAATAAAGGCACTCTTGTATACTCAAGAAATACCTGTTTCCAATAAGTTGTTAACTGTTCCAGGATAGGAGCAACAGAGTTATGAAACGTCATTTACTGGCTGACAGAAGGTTTTTAAACAATACGGCGAAGAAGCAAATAAATCAGTTGATGTATATTTGCTTGTAACAAAGATCCAATAGTGGACTCATATATGTTAGTCATTTATGTTCAACGAAAGACATAGTATAAGGGGTTACACAGTATCATTATTCAGTAAATAAAGTAGGGTTTTCAGAGTATATAAATCCAGGAAGCACTATTTCTCAACTGTCTGAAGAATAGCGATTATGCATAGTCAGTACTGAGGTTCACTTTATCTCAAACAAATTATGTTTATCAAAGCTTCAGTTCTGTTGTCCATTTGAGTTCTATCTTATTTTTGTTTTTGTTTTTTATGATCCGAAATTCGATTTTCAATATTTTTATCATTGTGGTGTGTTATAAATTTATCACTTAACTCTGAGCATATAACCTAAAGTCAATAGATATTATCTGAATAGACTTGTTTCATTAATTTATTCGCTTACTATTCAACATTGTCAAATTTCGGTAGCGGTTTGATCTATCCAATTTTCACTACTTTTGGCCTACCACAGCATAGCTCATAACTAGTTTATTTACAAAGGTCATCAGTATATATGAGGACACGATCTTCATTTGAATTTCTCGAATACTACGTTTCCGTTTGCGTTCTAGAAACTTAGTTTCATCTTTTGACTTATTATACAAACAGTCAATTTGTTATCTCTTCTACCATTGGTATGTATCATGGTACTTTCATCCAGCTGTTCTAAGACAATGTGGCAACCAATGCAGATACGCATCAGTTTTTACATGGCTGATAATTAATTGATTGTATTATGACTACTATGTTTTTAAATCTATTAAGTGAGTGTTTTAACGGTGTCCGAATTCATTCAAGACCAGCTAGTTGGAGACAGCTACTTCAACAACAAACCTCTCTCTTCATGCATTAGGTACAATGAGTAATCATTTCATTACAGTGACAACTTAGTTATTCTACCCTTAATCAATTACTTACTTCGGTTACCCCTCTTGGAGCGTCGGCCACCGGACAGCATTCTCCAACCAACTCTGTTCTAGGACATCTTATCCACTTCTATCCAATTTCTGTTCATTCTTTTCATGTTTGTCCCCAAATGTTCCTTGGTCTACCTCTTTTTCTTTGGCCGTGTGGAATCCAAGTTAGTGCTTGCCTGGTTACGTAGTTTAGTGCCTTTCTCCTTGTTTGTCCTACCTACCTCCAGCACCTTCGCCTAATTTCATCCTCAACTGAAATCCGGTTTGTTCTCTCATTCAGTAGAATTTTGCTGAGGGTGTTCGGTCAACGGAGCAACAGTGTCTTGCGTAGACAATTGCTGATAAACACTTGTATATGTTGAATAATGACTTTTGTAGCTCTCACGGTTTCCAATCCATACACTAAAACTGTTTTGACATTTGTGTTGAAAATTTTGATTTTGGTGTTGGTTCTGAGTTGTTTTGAATTGCCAATATTATTCACTTTAAGAATGCTGACCTTGCTTTGACAATCTGTGTCTTCATAACTACATTGATGAGACCCATCTTGTTTATTAAACTTGCTGTCCATGCATGTAAATGTTTCCACAACTTCAGAAGCTTATCTGCTGAATGTGATGCGGCTGTTGTCCAGTCGAATGTTCGGAAAAAGATTAAGGTGAGAGTATCCAACCTTGTCTGATACCAATCTTTACTTGGAATTAGTCTCTGAGCTGTCGTCGATTTACGGTTTTGCAGTGTAGTCCGTGATAAGAACTCCGGATGATGTTAACTGTCTTCTCAGGCACAGAATAGTGCAGAACAAGCCTCCTTAGTATTAACCTATCTACGCCATTAAATTCTGTCTCATAGTCAGAAAAACTGGCATCAAGTGGTGAGCTACATGTGGTTGGTTTTTCCAAAATGATCCATAGTGTCGAGTGCGACGCGTTCTGCAGACGATCAATGTTTACTGAATGCAGCCTGTTGATCTCGAAGTTGGGCCTTCACAGAATCCTTCATTCAGTATATCAACACTCTGTTAAAAACTTTGCATGGTACTGAGAGTAGAGTGATGCCTCTATGATTTTCACACCTGCTACGTTCTCCTCTGTAAAAAATATATTTTAACAAGATGTCCTTAATCTGCTGGTACTTTTTATTTCTCTCACATCTTCCTGGACTGAACGTGAAACATTTCAGTTCCTTCTGTGTATGATTTTAGTGCGTAAGGTGATATACTGCTTGTTCGTTCTGCTTTATAACTGTTGATTTTTCTGACAGACATGCAGGTTCCTTCGATTGTTGGTGAGTCAACATTATTTGGAAGGTCTGTAGGCTCTACTTTGATCCTGGGTGGGTTCAGTGGGGTTGTTCTATTCAAGAGTTACATAAAGTGCTCTACCCAACCGTATAGCTATTTTAAATGTCCGTAATTGCTATGCCTTTCTTGAGTTTCACTGTTCTTTTTGGTGTACCACATTTCCCTCTCTTCCAGTTTTTTCCATTATCATTGCTAGATCTACATATTTATGTCTATCAGCTTTGAAGCTCATCTCCACTTGCTTGTTTACTTCTGTGTATTCGGCTTGTGACCAGTCTTTAGCCTGTTATAGATTGCTATATTCCTGTTGTTCCTTTCTTGAATCTTATCCGGAGAATTAAAAGAGATCCATTCCTTCTGATGGTGCTTCTTGTGTTCCAAAACCTAATCACATGCTGAAGTTATTGCCGCTTTGATTCGTTTTCAGTTATTCTCCATAGTAGTTTCCTATTCAGTGAATAGATTGTGAAAGGCCTGAAACTTATTTCTGAGAGATGTTTTGAATTCGTTGGGCTTGACAGTATCCTGAGGAAAGACCATATTAAACGTTTTCGATTCTATCTGCTCAGCTATCCAGTGCTTCTTCAGTTTGAATTTCATATTGGCGACAAGCAAGTGGTAACCTGGTGCTATATCAGCTCCTGTCTTGATGATCATGTCCTCCATATCCCTTCTGAACTGTTTACTGATGCAGATGTATCGATTTGGTTCTGTTTAGTGTAAATCGTTTCACCTTTTCATTGTCTGGGCTTGGGACTAGCAGCCGAATAGTTGATGAAACTCATGTAATATTATCCAGCTAGTAGGTTGGAATTGAGTATTTCTCACTTTCTGACCTTCAATCGCTTCAAATATTTCCCGTACTTGCCTAGTTCAACAAATCCGGTTCATTTTATAAAAGATTGCAAACGTTTTATAAGTGCCTATAAAGAAAGTTCTTCTAAGTTATATTACTTTGTCGTAATTGAAAAACCAACACTCCAAAATTTGTAAATTCATTAAAACTATTCATTCTGATTGATTTTTTCCTATTGAAAAGTCATGGTGACGCCAGTTGGAAAATATACCATGGAAAATTCATGTAACAATGGTAATCTAGACAAAGATGAAGATGATGATGATGACGATGATGAAATCAGTTTGAGTTCTGATGATGAAATCAAATTAAATAATGATTTAGACAAAAAGAATTCACAATCTGTATGGTTTCGTGCACAAAAACGTATAGTTGGTCGAGTCTTAAAAAATGATCAATCTATCAAATCAATCATTGGTAAAAGCGCTTACAAATCATTGAAAGCTTTATATACTTTAATGAAATTACATATGAAATCAGAAACTGATGTAAAACAATTATATAAACATTTAATTAAAACAATTGGTAAAGTTGGAGTAATATCAAAACAACGTAATTTAAGCGAAGAAGATTATACAAATATACAAGAAATTAAAGAGAAAAGTCGTACAATTGGTTTAACATTAATAAGTTTTGCACAAACTGATTATACTTATAATTATAATTTTATTAAAGAACAATTAGATAATTGTAAAGATTTAATATGTCAAGCTGTTTCCCCATATTTAAGTCAAAAATCTATTGAACGTATTAAACATTTATTTAATGTATTAAGTTCCAGTGAATTTCTTGATTCTGTATATGATCAAACAGCTGATGAAACAAAGAAAGCGTGCCTTCAAAATTTAGTCTACCGTTTAAATGTTTTAATGGAGCGAAGCAAATAGTGTTGTGGTTGTTGTTGTTGTTTTTGGGTTCACTTATCAAAGTCAAATAACTAATGAGCTTTTGTGATCTCAACCATTGTGACACTTGTATACATTAACTTCCAAACAAAATATCGAAATATATATATATATATATATATATATATATATATGTAGGTATATGTGATGTCTTTTATTTACCTAGGCTTCAGAATGTTCAGTAATTTTTTTTACAATATTTGTTAACCACCTACAGATCTATGTTTATCCAATTGATAATTTTATTTTGAAGTGTGATTATCTTTTCTACCGTTAATTATTCTAGTGTATGATGCATATTATTATTATTATTATTACCCAAACTAATCAAATAATATTCATTGTAATAATGAATCGAATCAGTTATACAATTTTGCCCTTGTCTCTATACTTTCGATATGTCCTTCATCATTGTTAATTACTTGTAAATGTGTGTTTGCGCATGTACAAGAGAAGAAAAAAAAACTACGTTTTTTATGTAATTTTTACATAAATGAATAAATAAATCCCAAATTATATTTTTGTTTGAATTAGACATCTCCTGGTATTTGTTATTGTCATTTATTATAAATTATTGGGATCTATATTTTGGTGTGATTATTCTTTTTTTTGAAAAAATTGAATATGTACAACTCAGGATTTCCCTCATTTCAAAACTTACTCCATATCAACTGTTGCCTGCTATTTTATTTCATCAATCTTCACATGATTTCAGCCCTTTTCATCTTATTTAGTGAAGGGATGTTTGATTGATAAGCTAGTTAAATTAGATGTATAGGCTATAAGAGTTTTGCGCTAAGTTCCAGAATCGGGGATTTATAGATTGTGTCTTATTGAGAGATGAGTAAGTAACATGTAAAACCATGCAATATCTACTTACTAAGATGGTTATAACTCATGAACATTCCAAGACTAACACATAAGAATGAAGTTGAGCTATTCTTACAGTGACGTTGAGATTGTGTTTAGTTTGTTGTTGGAAAATAATGAACTTATGAATTTTCTTGATGTTTGTAACCCTAACCTTAAATCCTAGTCCAGCTCCTTAAGCTAACTTTTTCAGCTTTTATGTAATGAATTATGCATTTCTACCACTCGTATCTTGATTAGCTTGAGGTTGGAATTACTATTTCAACGTCATTTTATGGATCACTAGAAGTGGTCAACAAAGTATTCTTCCAACTTTCAGATTACCTTACATATCCCTGTGATAATATGGTTTACACGATTTTTTCAAGACAAACATCATGACAGATATAGGAGAAAATATTAACTTTAACTCTAACTATCATTCACACTTTGACAAACAAGTGAATTCAGTTGGAATTTGTTTTATTGCACTTTGATTGTTTTGGAAATGAACTTATTTCTAGCTTGTATAACCCCTTCCATATTTGTAAATCTTAGTTAACACCTCAATATTGAAGTGATCTGTAAATTATTACGAACTAAGATAACCTTAAGTGAACTGTTGTCTTGCCCTGACGAGGATAATGTTATTGATAACAATAATAAAGGGTCATTTATTAATGAAAATAATGAATGCAGCGCTAGTTACTAAGTGTACTTTTATTGCAAAATTAACCTCTTATTTTGATAAGTATGATAAATATTTATTTTGATACTTTCACTTGTCTAGTCTAGATGTTAAGCTCTATTTATCCCTGTTTACAATGATCGAAAACATTCAGTTAAAGATAAAACTGTAGTTTATTAGATTGTTAACGAGGTTCACAGACGAAAGCGTATTTCAGTCTATGCACTTTATTTTGTAATATCTAAAATGATTCGTATCTCCAGTACATTGACTGAAGTCGTAACTGCTGTTTTTCAAACAGGCTGATAGATGTATACAACTGACTTAATATATGAAAAAACAATATGTCTGTTGATACTTGTTCTCTTCAAGATGTCTGGAGCACTGACACCTTTGAAATCCATGTTCATTTAGAGAATTTTACATGATCAGAAGATTATTGACAGTTTTAGGGGTTTGAATTTTCGATTCTTGCTAGCAAATGTCAGTGTTAGCTCATCTCCAAAAATTTAATTCTTTGCGCATGAAAGCTCAATTTTTAAGATAAAGTATTGCAGACAATTATCAAACAGTCCGGTGTACAGGCTTTTTGGATGTTGTGATTTCATATCAACGGATATTTGAAAAATCAAGGTAGTCGTTAATATTTAAGGTTCTAAAATAGTGTCATTATCAAAGATGCCAATAATGAGTAATCATATTTACAAATGATTATTTGCAGCATTGATATGATCATAATATTTCATCATTCAAACATAATTATTTCGTTTCTTAGACTTGTATGGTTCTCAGTTCGTAACTGCAGCAGTACATTTCCTTGATATCCAAGTGTTACAATTTTAAGTATTGTTAACACTAACTTATTATAAGCAGAGTCAAAAGACATGTTCACCATACGTTTGTAAATTACTCAATGTTGTATATGCTTTGTCGTGGTCAAGCATATTTACATTAATGTTAACAGATCACATACAGTCATTTCGATTTACCTACCAATTGTTAGAATGGGAAAAATTTATGTAAACTCAAAAAGAGTCGCACTTTTAATCGCTTGAACTGATGCTGTCAACATGTGTCAGTCAAGATCATTCGCTAAACTGGATTATTGATTCGATAATTCAGTAAACAGATATCAAAAAACGGAACAAGCAGGCAATAGGATTTAATTTAATTTGAAATAGTTTGGATTATCTCATTGTTGATATTTTTGACTAAAATTTCATCAGTCTAGGTTGATATATGGGAATCCTTTGAGGATTTTCTCGATATATTCATTCACTAGTGGACACTCATAAATCCTCCAGGAATTCGGACGAAATCTTAACTGTTAGTATCGCAGGTCGGGCACACGAAGCAAGATTTAAGGATTACTAGTTTGGTCCTTTAGGTGATCATGGTTGCATGCTTCCAAGGAGTTCCGTCATAAAAAGGAAGAGTAGTTTGGTGTTATCCTTTTTACAACATGTTCTATTTTGAGATATTCCATGGTGACTACGAGTTTTAAACCACTATGAGAATTATTCTGATATGAAATTAATTGTAAGTAAATTCGATCGAGAGGATCAATATTACCTATCACTTCAACAATAATCCTTAAACTTATTGAATTACAAAATCAAGAAATGCCTGATAGTAAAAGAAGTCAAACTTGCGATAGAACAACTCTGTACACTTCTCAGAAACTATAACCTTACGCCATATAACAAATGCAAAATACTAAAAGCTAACCAGATGACAGCAAACATTATTGTGAGAATATGAATAGGAAATAAATTGTTCATTCGTCAATACACCTGACACTTATTGATTTTTATCTTCGTGGTCACAAGCTTGATATTAATTTTCTCATTAAATCCTTGTTTGAGAATATATATGTTCCCCATTTTCTAACTCATTCTTGATGATTTGGACAGGAGGATTTTGGAGATTGCTTAACTTGAAAATTGTCTTAGATAGAGGTAGTCGGAAGGAAACCATGAACCTAGGTTCTTTGTTTTTCGGTTACTCATAGCATGACATACCTGCAATTCTACGGGAACTGATATTCCTTGTATGGTTCGAATTCGCACCATTCAGTATCACATCCTGAGAATCTATCAAAGAATTGTTGAGTTCTAACTGGCTCCAATTCTAGATTCAGATATTCCAAAACACTATCCCAAACTACCTAATATCCCAACATGTTCTACGTAATGGTGAATCACTTAGATTAGTGACTGCAATACAACTTGGTCCGAAGAATTTGATCAGCCCTGTACGATTACACAAGCACATCTCTAGTCACCATCTGGTGACTAATTGATTGTAAGGCTATAGCATGGAATAGAAATATCTAGACAGCCACTGAAAATCAGGTATCATACAACTGTTTATTTATAGCGTAGTATATTCAACTATTATGAACCACGACAAAACTGGAAAAAGAGAGGTTTCAATTGTTGGGCTTAGTATTGAAATGAGAATGGATAGTCAAAAATTCCCGAATTCTGTTTGACAATCTTGAATTCACAAACAAACATAGAATTCTGGATAACATTCATCTCCGAATATGCAACAGAAAATCATTTATCCTGTTTAGCAATTCTGTCAGACTAGTAAATTGTAGACATTTGAAAACCGTAAAATAATCTGATGATCATGGGTTAGGTTTATTGATTGAAATTCATGATTTCACAATTAATTATTTCCCAGAAGATGATAGCTGAAAAAAAACCTGAAGCAAATTAATTTGATAAAGGTTTAATTGAAGTATAGTAGATAAATTCTCTCAGCTTGTCAATAGATATCACTTTAATTTAACTAACATTAAAGGATTAGTGAAGTAGGCGATTTTTCAGATTTATTTATGCGACAGAATTATTTTATGAAAGATTAAATAAAACCAACTTTTTAGGTATAGTAAAAATCTTTTAGAGTTACAAAAAGTGGATAGGACACAATGAAAAAAGCACCCAACTGCGTCACACGACAAGCTCTAACTTGGAATCCTCAAGGCCAAACGACAAGAGGAAGACTAAAGAACATATTGCGCCGATAAATGGAAACAGACATGGCAAGAATGAACAGCTGTTGGACAGAACTAGAAAGGAACACCCAGGACAGAGTAGACTGGCGAACGCAGGCCGGCTCCGTTTGGGGAAACAGGCGTAAGTAGGTAACTAAAATTTAAAATATCTGACTAAGTAATTGAAATGTCTTAAGATATATAATTTCACAAATAAGAGTTTGAATCTTCCTGTTTCACTTTGGCATATGCATATCCCGAGCAGACTAAATCGATAAGATCATTAGGTCATAATCACTTTCAAGCGAAATTTTAATACTAATGTGAATATCAATAGTGGAATCCAGGTAAATGCAGCTGACTAAATCCAAATACAATGAAACCTGCCCCTTAGATTCTTCAATTACTTAAACTACTTACGCCTGTTACCCCCAATGGACTATAGGCCGCCGACCAGTATTCTCCCACCTGCTCTGTACTGAGCTTCCCTATCCAGTTCTATCTAACTGTTGTTCATTCTTCTCATTTCTGTCTCCGTTTCTCGGTATAATCTGTTCCTAGGTCTTCCTCTTTTCCCTTGATTTTGAGGGTTCTATATGAGGGTGTGTTTTGTGACGTAGTTGGGTGCTCTCCTCAGCGTGTATCCTATCAACTTCCACCGCTTCTTCTTGATTTCCTCCTCCTCTGGAATATGATTTGTTCTATTACTAGTCACTATCAAACCTCTACTACAACACTATTGCAATAAAATCTATTTAAATTGAAATTTAGACTTTTTCATTTAATTATTTCGGATAATTTAACAAATACCATTTAAGTTTTGTTACACTACACAAGTAGTTTGTAATTTAAATATATTATATTATTTATTCACCATTAGTAAGTTCGAAATTGCTCCTTTTTTCATTGCGTTGATTACTCATTTGAATAAATTAACATATAATTTAAAATGATAAATATGTAAGCACCAAAAAATAAAAAATAAAAATACATGAAATTAAGACTGACAATATCAACATAATACAATTTAAATA